ATTTCATCAAAACGTTTTTCTGAATATGGTGGTTCAGTTGTATCCATTTTATTGACAGCAACAATCATTTGTTTGACACCCAAGGTATAAGCAAGTAAAGCATGTTCACGTGTTTGACCATTTTTTGAGATACCAGCTTCGAATTCACCAGTACCAGCGGCAACGACCAAAACAGCACAATCAGCCTAAACAAATAAATCGTTAGTTTTCTACATAAGTTACTATACAATGAGTACATACTTGTGATGTACCAGTAATCATATTTTTGATGAAATCACGATGACCAGGAGCATCAATAATAGTAACATAGTATTTTGCTGTTTCAAATTTCCAAAGTGAAATATCAATTGTAATACCACGTTCACGTTCAGCTTTCAATTTATCTAATACCCAAGCATATTTGAATGAACCTTTACCCATCTATATCAAAAGAGACATGTGTTGATTAATAGTTAGCAATGATGAAATAAATACAAACTTCAGCAGCTTCTTTTTCGAATTTTTCGATGGTTCGTTTATCAATACCACCACATTTGTAGATCAAATGGCCAGTTGAAGTAGATTTACCTGAATCGACATGACCAATGACGACAATGTTGATATGAATTTTTTCTTTTCCCATTGTTATAGATCACTGATTGATGGTTTGAAACTGATGGAAACAAATGTGATCTAGAAAACAAAAGAAAAATTTAAGACGATAAAGTATAACTAGGACGTAATATCGAACAGAAGTATTGCTTGCAACAAATACTTAGGAAATAAGATTTGGAATGGAAAAATCTAATTAATATGTGTTTTAGGCAAAAGGAAATTTTTCGAATATTAAATAGACATTTGCAGAAAAAGTAGTAAAGAAATTGAAAGTGCCTTCTAAAAGTTCGTCCTAATATAATCAGATGTTTTTTGTTTGTCTCTCTCTTTCTCTGTCTGCGCATAAGCATAGCATTGTATCCTCCATAGTTTAAATAATAACTTCAGCTTCTCTTTCGACCTTCTCGAACAATATATATTCTCCGACAGAATAATCGTGAAGACGATATCTTACGCCTTTTCACGGAGGTTCATACTCACCGACTCGATTATTAGCAAAACTTCATTCCATTTATATGTCAAAAAACATAAAAATAAAAAGTAAGTTTTTTGATTACGATATGAGTGAAGCAAATTCTCAAAAGATTTGTTTATACAATATTTTTTTAAAAGCGATAGTAGCGCTATATGACCCAATGGAATCGAAAGTCAGATGAATCATCATAAAAAGATTAGAAATAGTAAATACGTCTATACAGAATGTCCTAGAACTCCGTTCTGAAAGTTTATGTCAATCGCACTTTAACAGGTCAAGCCATGTATATGTATATTTTGATCATATCATAGTATATACTTTAAAGTTTTGTTCTATATATTTTCCGATAAATGTCTATACTTATAAACATTAGAGTAAGACTAGTTTTGTTAAAGGCCAAATTTAAATCATCACCTATTGTTGTGAAAAGAAAATACAAGTCGAATTTATCCTACAAATGCCAGGCATAGGTTGTACTAGGAATATTTTTCAAATCTTTTGCGAAATCAGTATCGTAGCAAATGAATAATAATTTGAAAGATCGTCAAAAATTCCAGAAGAGAAAATCGACGAAATTAATGACACATGTGAAGATGTGCTACTATCGAGTGTTCGAATTAGTTCAATAGTCTTCCTAATTCCTAAGAACAGTAGCAGTGTGAATTATGACTTAATATCTAGCGATGAAGTCATACAAAGTACAATTTGTCCAACAACTCCATGAAGAAGAAGGTTCAAAAGATCAAGATGAAGTTTTCAAATTTTGATAACAATATTAGAAAATATCAACAATCAGAAGAATTCATTTTTTTTTGCGAATGAATTCTATTTTCATTTAAATGCTTTATCGATAAATATAAAATGAAAATCTACATGTATAAGATATATATAAATATTTGTTTGAATTTAAAAAAAGAATCAATAACAGAAATAAATTAATTCGAAAATAAACTTTCTACAGTGAGTTTTTAAAGATTTTGACAAAATATACTATCATATTGTTTAAAAAAGGCAATTAAATCGCTTGAAATATATGAGATATTTACGTGAATTTTTCGCACTGACTTTTGAGACACTGTATCTATTGGTAATAATCAAAATATCTTTCATCTCATATTTATATTTCTAAAAAAGCCTATAAAATATTTTTAAGATAAATAAAATAATCCTTCTGACCAGATATCAATCATCATCAAATTAATCATAAAGCACAATTTATTTTATTTGTCTGAAATTCTGATATTCATTTCCAAAAACAATAAAGAAAAGAAATAAACATATTACACATAGACATCTAAGAAAAACACATCAAACAAATAGTGGATAAGATTGCACAGACTGTAATAAACAAATAAAGGAATGTCAATGAATGGCATAAACAAATTGAATATAATCAAGACAAAAAATACACGTACACACACACATACACACACTGTGCAATATTGAATTGAACATCTGACAAAAAAAAATGATCTTAGTTTATTAGTTTTTTCTTCTTTTGTTTATATTCGTTTTTTATCATCATTATTGATATATACAGCAAAAAAAACTTTCAGCAAAAGAAAAACAAAAAAAAAACTGAGAAGCAAAAAAATTCATTACACAAATTCAGATTCGAACAAAAATTAGATCCAATACATTTGATTGCATAAACAATGAACATATATAATGATGTTAAACACGAAACGAAAAAATATAGAGTTCACATCAAAAATAGAGAGAGAGACAAAGTACAAAGCAAACATATTTTTTTTCTTTTATGTGTAACCACTTGGTTGCCAATGGCTACTTGGACCTGGATTATAATACTCTATACCATGTCCTATTGGTGTCATTGCTGTTTTTACTTCTAAAATCAAACAAAACGAAATCATTATTCAAATAATAACAAAAAATTTTTACCGTCAAGACTCGGTGGAGGTGCATTTGTTTTTCTTAATAATAATCGAACATAGAGTCCACCATCACGGATTAATGATATTGCTTCATTATGAGTCATACCATAAGTTGAACGACCATTAATTTCAATAATTTGATCGCCCGACTATTAATATAAAAATAGAAATAAGAATAATTTTTACAAAAGAATATTTCTTTATTTATTTACTTTCATTCGACCATCTCGTGCAGCTAGACCATTATCAGCTAATTTTAATATAAATAATGGAATAGAAAATTCTCGTCCACCACGAATACTAAATCCAAAACTTGTATTTGGATATGAACGTTGAAGATCAACAGTAAAATAATCATCTGTAGATGATGATGACTAATACAGAATTATATTGAAATAGATTCAATTTAAAACATATTGAATAATTACTTACAGATTTTAAAACACCATTTCCTCTTGATGGTGGTCGATTTTGATTTCTTGAAAAACAAAAAAAAAAAGCATTGTAGTTGTTTTTTTCTTCCTTTAAATTTTTATATTAAATCAAAATACCTTTCAAGAATATTCAATGGATTATGTGAAAATGCATTTCTTATTGAATGATGTCCATTATTCATTGAATTATATGTATTATTTGTTAATGAATGATGATTACCATTAGCAATAACCATTGGTGATGAAGATGATGGTCGAATACCATTAGGTAGAGTATTATTAGACGTTGTTGAAAATGGATTTGGAAATTCTTGCGATCGATCATCTTTTATTTTAAAATAAAAAAAACAAAAAAACTTAGAAAATATTATTTTAATGATCTATTATTTATTTACCATAATGAATAGGTGGACCAATTTTGAGTGTTATTGTTCGACCAGAATCTTTTATTAGATTAACAACATCTGTATGTAACATATGAGTTAAATCAACACCATTTACAGCTAAGATACGATCATTAATATGAAGTTGACCACATTGATCAGCTGGACTATTTGGAATTATTTTACCTAAAATTGAATTTTTGTTTTTTTTTTGAATAGAAAAATGTTTAGAATGATATATTTCGTCGGAAAATAGAAATTTTTGATATACTATTAAAAGTTTTCTCTATGCCATTGTATTTATCAGTATTCATTATGTTTTATTGAATATTTCTTTTTAAATTAAATGTGATCAATCCAAATTATCAATAGAAAATAAAATAACTTACGATTTTCTCTAGGTTTAATAGATAATATCAATATTCATTAAAAACGCTTGAATACTAAGATCTAATCAGTACGATCACTTATTCAGAATGTTATCTTAAAAATGAAAGATGAGAAAGATAATATGAACCTAGATACAGATGATGATACATCTCTTCGAATGATCCTAAACTAAAAGTAAAATTCAATCTTATTTAATTTCAAGCATAAAATCATGCAGAGAAATCAATATTCAACAGAAACGATTATAATTCATCATTATTGGTAATGATATCAACTTCTATTCTTCAATAAATATCATATTCCAATGCATTATCTTTAATATGCTATCTATGATACAAACAGTATATTCATACATTTTCATATTATTCTCGATCCGAAAATGCTTATATATATCTATGAATATTATTGAAAGATGTCTAATGAAAAGAAAGATCCCTTCTAAGAAATTTTTTCTAGAAGTCAAAAAGAAGTTTTCCATGCTCATATATATATATATATATAATTCAATCTACATGCATACATGCATATCTAACCTATCCAAACTTTATGAATAACACTATTTTCAATCTGTTCATGTCGATTGTCATCTGTTTGAATAAATAAAATTAATTAAAAAAAAAAAAAAAAAAAGCTAAAATATCATCTAATTTGTATACTAACCAACTGTAGCACCGGCTTTATTTTGTGATGATATAATAACAAAGCCAAAACTTTGATTATCATTCATTTTTTGTAATGTAACATAACGTATTCCATTATCAATTGATGAATTTGTACGCAAATCATTCGACAAATATGGATCAATATCTTTTTCATTATGTTGATCTTAAAAAAACAAAAAAATAAAAATAAACAAAAAATAAATTAATTTTTTTTTTCTACTTGATAATTGATTATTATTTGGATACAAATAACGTCGAACAATTAAACTGACACGTTGATTTTCTTTTGCTTGTTGCATTAATTGAACAACTCTTTCATGTGACGCACGTATGGTTGAATGACCATCAATTTTAATAATTTCATCACCTTTACGAAGACGACCATCAATATATGCTGGTGAATTAGGAACAATACGACCGACAGCTACTTGAGATTTTTCTTCTTCACCACCAACAATTCTTAAACCAAAACCATCGCTGTAAAAAAAAAGAATTTTATATATATTCGAAATCGATCAAGAAATTTTTTTACTTTGGACGTAAAATTGTTAAATTAACAACTAATTCAAAATATTGTGGATGAACAGATTGTAATGATCGACTAAAAGACAAAAAATAAAAATGATACAAATAAAAATTGAATTGTTTTTCTTTTGTTATATTAACCTATTGTGTAAATTGTTTGATGAAAAATCATTAGCTGTTGGTGTTTTACTTCGTTGTTTCATTCCCATTAATGTATTTGCACGATATGATGATGATATTGTTGTACCAAATTCTGGTCCAGGAGTTTTACTTCGTAATATAGAAGTATTTCCATTTGTTGCTGTTGTTGCTGCTGTTGTTCGTATGTCACGTGCACTACGTGACCAAACTGTCTGACGATTAAATGTATTCATTGAATTTGGAGATAGTTCTGTTTCAATAATAGGTGTTGATGTATCAACACTATTTGGTAGAAGAAAACTTAAATTATTATCGTATGGATTATTATTATCAGTTGTTGTTGAATGTGTTAGTTGATGATTATTTGTTGGTATTGTTGTTGTTGTTGTTGGTAATGGTGTTCGAGAACGTAATGGTAATGTATCGGTTAATGGCGTTGAACCAAATGGTGTTGGAGTTTTACTACGAGGTTTATCTAGAAAATATGATTAAAATGAAAATTTATTCAGAGAAAAAAAACAAAGATTTTTTTTCTTTTACAATACCATTCAGTTTGGATGTTGGATATCGAGTATCAATTTGATCATTTTCCTAGAAAATGAAACAGGATTCTTTAATTCAAGGAACAATTGATATTAAAGTATATGTAGTAAAGGATATAATAAATGTACACTTCAATTTTTATGACATATACACTCAAAAAAACAAAAGAATAAAATATTAAATATCGTTGTTCAATAATTTATTCTCTGTTTTTTGTCTAGTATTGTATTTTAATTGACCTTTATCGATCAAGTTAATGTTAACAATATGACATGCATATGAACATTTACACAAACATATATATCTATATCTATATACATATTAATTGTCATTTGAAAATTAAGAGCAAAAAGATAAATCATAGGGAACAAAATAGACATGCAATGGGAAAGAAATACGAGGTCACTTGAATATGATATTCAATCACCTTATTCATGGTGTTGCTTGTTAAAAATGAAACATGCTTGCCGCTAGTCGACGGCCGATTATTTAGCTACAGATAAAATTCTTGTTCTTTCTCATGAACATTCTCTCAAATACAAATTGTTTACTTGTTCAATACATACCTGATTATGTTTATCAAAACGATTGATACCATTTACAACAAATGGATTATTATTATTATTATTGTTGTTATTGTTATTATTATTATTATTATTATTATTATTGACGTCCGGATCACCTGAATAGAAAAGAAAATATTAATTAGTTTTAAGATTTTTAATGAAAAAAAAACTAAATGAAAAAATAATCAAAGAACAACAACAAAACAATACCTTTGTTTGGTGCTCTTTTAACACGAAATCTCAGCATGTTGTTATTATTCTAACTCTTGTGATATATACAGAACTGTCTATCAGTCTGTCTGTTTTATTCTTGTAATAATAATGTGTTTAGAATAGATGAATGTTTTTCTATTCCTTAGGGAAGAGACATGCCAACAATATTCTGAACAGCCGTCATAAATCAGACAGACGACTCAAAACAACAATAATCATTCGATCGTTCTCTTGCTCGTTTGTCTCTCACTTTTACAATTATTGTTCAAAGCGTTCAACACCTAATCAAAAAGTGATCATATCAAATGAACTCTCATTTTCCTCTTTTTTTTTCTCCGTTCATTCGTCCATTCTCCGTTCAAGTACAATATGCGTATGTCAATGAAAAAAAAAAAGTTCTATATATATACATATACACGTTAGATGAATACAGACGCAGACAATGTTCTTATTGATTTTTTTTTATCATATGTGAAAGAAAGACAAAAGGTCAGGTTGGAAATGAATGCATTAACAAATTGTCACCTATGAGCAGATGTTTGTATCTGCATATGTAAAATTTACCTGTTGCTCGATCGTTGTATATTATAAAATAATAATGAAAAAACTCTTTCAAATGTGTACGAAATATCAAATAAATATATAACTTTCTCTGTCTCTTTCTTGTTTCGTTTATACTCCACACTATTGAAAAAAGAATACTACGAAGAAAGAGAAATCACCTTTTTTTTTTTTTTTGCTCGCACTTCTCTGTCAACAAATAAATTTTTTTTTTGCCTATAAACTTCAATACAGAACAAGTAATAGTATAGTGATGGTATTAGTCGTATGTTCTATTACAAATATAAATACCCTTTTCTTTCCTTTTCTCTTTTATATTAATGAGTACAGTTTTCGTATAGGTTTTTTCCTCATTGACAATCAAGGATATATTCGAATAGAGCAAAAAAAAAGAAAAAAGAAAAACGAACTTCATGGTCAAAACAAAAAGAAAAAAGATTTGATAATTTCTACCTCGTCGTATAACGAATATCGTTTCGACATCTTTTGAACATTTAACAAGTATATCAACAACATCAGCATGTTGTTTACCAATTAAATCTTGTCCATTAATCGATAATAATAAATCATTTTCACATAGATCTAGACAACGTTGTTTATCAACAATTGCTTTAACACGTTGTCCTAATGGACTATCAGCAACAGTAAAACCAAAACCATTATCACCCTTTCGAATTTTAATTGTATAAATACGAGGAGAATTATGATGATGAGAATCCGGTTGATATTCTGTATATCCACCATTAGGTAAATTATTAATTGATAATGAATTATGAACACCATTTAATGAAACAACATCAATTTGTGGATCATCAAAATTAACAACAAGTGGATAACCACGACAAACAGTTAAACGAATAATATCATTTATAGATAAAGATTGAAATATACGAACAACATCTGTATGACTAAAGCCCAAAACATTCGTATCATTAACATAAACAAGAATATCACCTAGAAGAAAAAAGAAAAATTTGAAAGATTTATTCTTAAATTAATAAGAAAATAGAATAAATAAAATTTACCTCGACGAAGTTTGCCATCTCGTGCTGCTGGTCCATCGGATAAAATATCTTTTATTTGAAGAAAATGTTCACCTTTTTCATTACCACCAATTATTGTAAAACCAAAACCATTTTGACTTTTTTGCAATGAACATGATATTAATTCACCTGATAAATGTGGTGCTGATAAAGTCGAATTTTCATTCATCATCGATCGTGCTAGTAATGAAAAGAAGAAGAAAAAAAACATTTTATTCTTTTTTTTCTTGTATTATGCTCATAAAAAAAAAATTCTATCCCTTTAAGGTATATAGAAGTATTTGATATCTTTTATTTATTTTCTTTTTTTGAGAGTCTTCGATTTTTTATTTATATCTTGAAAAGAAAAAAAAATCCTTACTTGTTGATGTGTGATTTTCACCACTAGATTGATGAAATATTTGATCATTTGGACTATGACCAACGAAAAATTCCGGATCATTATTTGGATATTGATAATGCATACCTTTGATAGCAAAAAAGAAGATTAAAAAATTATATATATGTATAATCTGTTTTTTTTTTTACTTTTACCATTATTTTCTATTCCATTATCAGCTGTACGTTGTTGTTGAAACATTTCATTAGCTGAATTACTACGTCGTAAAAGATTATTATTTGAAATTGACGAAGGATATTGATGTTGTCCGTTTGTTAAAAGAGCTTCTTTTGGTGGCCGTGGAGTTCCGTAATAATGTCCTATTTGTAAAACAATATAAAGATGATTAGAAAAAGAAACGAATCTTTTCCAGTTGACAAATAACAGAACATAAAAAAAAAGAAAAAGAAAAAGTCTCAATACTTGCCTTTATAGACACCACTCTCGAGCAGATTACCGCTTTTTTCTAACGCACGAAAGTCTTTCGTACTTAAGAATGTATAATCTTGTCCGTTTATTTCACCTGGTCGTGGTGGGCGAGTTGTACCTAAATAAAGATTACACACACACACAAAAACATACTTTTCATTGTTATTCTAACTAATTTAGATATTTACAAGGAACTGTTCGCATATAAAGATTGTCGCGTATTGTTTGTTGAAGGTCATGGTCAATTGAACCTTTTTGAAAACGTGCATCAAGAAATTGACGAAGATCTTTGGTTAAACCTGTTTCAATCAATAGAAAGAAAAAAAAATACTATGTATTAAATAGATAATGATTGAATAGTTATGTATAAATTTATATATATATAGATAGATAGATATGTAACAACAAATAAACAAGAAATTTGACCTCGACCTTGTAATTCTTCAAATATAGGATTATTATTCGTTGTTGCCGATCCTAATCCTGGAGATATTAAAGATAAATTATCATAGGATGAATGAACCATGATATTCGCATTTGTCAACATTGTCTTATCTGAACCATTGGTTAAGAAAAATATATATGTATATATCTATAGATATAGATATTTATTAGTGATGAGGCTGTCTAATATCAGCTCTTATAGCTCAACTCAATATGTGTGTATGTAAGGATGCATGTATATGTCGTGCGAGAACAGTAATAACGTAAATGACGTAACAAAATGCAATCGTGTGACGATGATATCGACAAAAAGGGAATGGAAAAAAAACGAGGACGCAGAGAAGCATAGACAAAATAATGAGATGCCTTTTACGATAGTACGTAGTGAACATCAATACCGATTGTTCTGTCAAAGGCTTGTTTACACGGTCGATGTCGGCGTTCTATTACTGGTCTTTTTACTGATAATAAAACCAGAGAAGATGTAGAATCGCACAGTTCAATCCCACTAACATGATGACTACGACAAAGCTGAGAACAGCATGAAAAGATGGAACATAAACAGACGTCGTCGATGGACACAAACTGTGATAGAGCATTCAGTTTATTGCTAAGTCTAATGAAGATATACATATATATAGAAAGTTTGCTTTTTTTCTAACAACAACAGAAAAAATTATCACAAGAAAAGTATGTGCATTATATGATGGAATATTTATTTTTTCGTCTATTTCTGAGCATTATTCATAAACCCATAGTTATGTTGTAAAAATAACGAGGAAATGAAATCTGTTTTTACTTTTTAATATTTCTATATGATTTACGATTATATAACACTTAAGTACCATTCTCTATGACTTTCTCTCTTATGCATCGTCCTCAATTCCACTCACAGTCGATCGGTTCATCTAAGAAAGAAAAATGATGAAAGGACATGCTAGACACAAATAGATTGCTTCTCTCAATTGTATCAATTCCATTCGAACGTTAATATTATCTATGTTGTTCATTCATCAAGATATTCCCGAACAACTGTTGTTTTCATAATAGAGACGTATATTTATGTACAAGAACAAAAAAAAAAGAAAAGAAAAGAAAAGAAACCAGAATACCTTCATCTGTCTGATGTTTGAGCATATTTATTGTTATGAATTTTTTATTTTTGTTTTATCTCATGAGATATATATATGTAAAATCGATTGAATTGGGATTATATCAACGTGATCTTTTACTCTAGTGAGTAAATACAACGGGGAAAAAAACTGCAGGTTGACCTTGTTATCGAATCATTTACCCGTGAAGGAGAAGGATATCGATCTATTGTATATGCACTATTCGTTATGACCTCTGCCCTTTATTTCTTTCTTTTCTCTTCAAGAAGAAAAATGAACGGAGACGCCGGTATGTAACAAATATTTTTGATAAACAGACATGACAGGACATACTCATTTCTTGATAGACAAAATGAGTGATCAGCATGAAAGACGAGTATAGGACAATGTCATAATTTCTTTTTTTTCCTATTAATAATGGGATAAAAAGAACAATTTATTCTTTTAAACGACTAATGTAGTTTGAGAGTGCACAGCAATTTAATGAAATGATCTATTTTATGCCTTGCAGCGTTATGTAAATCTATCAATATGAAGATTAAAAACAATATTATACCCGATTTGACAGTTTTCAATTTAATTTGTTTTCCATTAATAGAAAGTGTTTCAATAAGTAATTTAACATCAGCTAATGTACAACCAGCAACTTTATGTTGATCGATTTCAAGTATAATTTCATCTAAATCAATTTTACCACCTTTAAGAATAAGAAATGATGTTTGATTAGTTTTTAATAATGATATTGATTCATTAAAATAAACAAATTGACCATTATCAGCACCACCAGATAAATTTAATTGAATTGAATGATTATTATCATTTGATGATAATATTGTTTCATGACATGTTTGATACCAATGTTTTATTGTTGAAGGTGGTGATGTTAATGCTAAATGAGATGGTGGAGATTCACTGCCAGTTTTTTTTTGAAACATTTTTGTTGGTGAAAAACGATTTTTTGTTGTTAATGACATAGTGTTTTCAATATCGATAAATGGAATCTAATAACCAAAAAAAAAA